ACGTCTTTTTCAAGTAAAATATCCAAGAATGAAACAGATGTGTCAGACTCTGTCGTGTCTTTAATCTCAAGCTCTCCTGGATATATCGTAATGGAAAACTAATATAATATGCCAGAGATCAATATATTGAAAACATTTCTTATAACTTCATCAAATGTGAAAGCAACATTCACTTCTTTGTCATTATTTTTAAACCTTGATTAACACATTCAAAAGGTTTCCCTTACATCAATGGTGGAATACTGGAGATGTGCTGAGTTCGACAATCAGAAAACAGCGTATTGCTTTTATTTCTTCGGTATTGATAGTTAAATTAATCGTTCATTGAAAATCGGTCCAGAAATAAGGATTTTCTGCCGTTTGCATGCCTTTTGAGCATTTTGCTTGTTATTCGACTTTCTGCTCACTGAAACGACAATACCATGACGCCAGCGTAAAGAACTCTTCAAGACCTTTCCAACGACACCAAGAACGTTGACATCAGAGCAGTCAGTCAGAAGATATGAGCAAAAAAAGAAAAGTAAGTGTTTGCAGGGGTTAAAGTCAGGGTTAACGGGGGTTAGGGTTAGTGGGGGTTAGGGTTAATGGGGGTTAGGGTTAGGGTTAGGATCAGGGTTAGGGTCAGGGTTAGGGTTAGGGTTAGGGTCAGGGTTAGGGTCAGGGTCAGTGTTAGGGTCAGGGTCAGGGTCAGGGTTAGGGTTAGGGTTAGGGTTAGGGTCAAGGTCAGGGTTAGGGTCAGGGTTAGAGTTAGTGGGGGTTAGGGTTAATGGGGGTTAGGGTTTGGGTTAGGGTTTGGGGTTAGGGTTTGGGTTAGGGTTTGGGTTAGGGGTTAGGGTTAGGGTTAGGGTTAGGGTTTGGAGTAGGAATAGGGCTAAAAACGAAGATGCCCAATCTAGGTCATGCCCAATCTAGGTCAAATGAAATGAAAGTGGAAAGTGAAAGTCACGGATACATGCAAAAGTAAAGGAAAAACTGAAATTTTCCAAAGCTCATAACTTTCTTATTTATTATCGAATGGAGACGAGTTTGGTGTCGTTGGAAAGCTTAGAAAACGAGCAACACGATTAAGTCAGAGTCATAAAACCTAGGTGTCAGGAAACGGGAGAAAAATGGCTTCTTTTTTAAACAGCAGATTGTGCTTAGAAATTGACAATTTGAGAATTATTGACCATTTTCAACCTCCCAGATCTCGAGAATGGCCTGCAATTGACTCACCCCACTTATGTCAGTGAGACACGACAAAAGGGACTCTTTGTACCTGCAAAGAGTTGGAAAAACTGCGGTCTACCTCTGAAGATATAAATGAGTAAACATGCGGAAAATGTTCAAAAGTCTTAAAAACTTTGAAACAGGGATTGGACAAGTTAAAGTGGTCAGGTCTCGACAACCTGCACGTTGCCGAGGAGGTCTCAGCAGAAGCTGCTCAAGTGTCCCAAAAGACGGTTATGCTCGGAGACGAGGTAAAATTGCGTTCCACGCTAAGTTCTTTTTCCGGGCGATAGCGCTTAAACGGTGCGAGATAGAGGCCCTAAACTCAGTACATTAAAGATGAAGAAGACCTCAAGGGAAGCCTAACAGAATACAGTGATGCTTTATGCTACCTTTTAAATAGATAAGTATGAAATAGTGTTGAATGTCATTATATTTTTGATGATAAGTCGCATTGTAATACTCATATAGAACTTTTTAAAACCGCGTTAATTTTCATAATTCAACCGTGCCCTGGATTTATATAAATATTATAATGGTCTAATGTTAAATTCTGCAACTTTCATTTGCAGTGACAAAAAAAGTTAGCGAGTTTCACAAACTTTTTTGACTCGCATTTTTATTTCGCTGCGAACAATTTTTTCACCTACATTTGGGCTCTCTGGCATTCTTGGAAAATGATGCTTCAGTTGCTAAAATAAAATAGCAGCTGCGGGTGGATTCCAAGCGAGAAGTCTCGAAGAAAATTGGCGTGGACTATAGCAGGTTTACATGAACTTTATTTATAATATGTGATAAACTACAAAGACTATGAAATAAGAAAAAAAGATACATGTGTTCAGATTAAAAAGACAAGATATTAGACCTCCATATATAAATGGCAGAAGAAGAAACTGACAAAGGTTAATTAATTTCATTTATAAAAAAAAATCTATATAAAAAAGGGGTACCCTATCTCAACATGTAATAATTTGGTAGTGTAACATCGATTTCCTGGCAAAAACTTTCAAAATTGTCGTATTTTAACATTTTTTTTTTCAAGTTTATTTTTAGGAATAAATCTTTCAGAAATTCTTTTGTGTAGTTGCTTTGTATTTAAATACAGAATCATACTGTTAAGTAGACACCTTTATGAAGTTTTTAAATTCAAAGTCGATAAAGATTAAACCATTTAGAGAACATGGTTCATTTTTGGCTTTTTTGGCCTTGTGCGCCTAGTTTTAGAACTAGTTAATTAACAAGGAATGAGATTATATTGTTTTAAAAGCTTAAGCCTCTTACTGACAATATACAACAGCATCTATATAAATATTATATAGATGCCTTTATTTTATGAGGAAATATTGTGCTCGAGATCGGCGTACACAGTCGGGTTCGGTATACTCGTCCTTCTTTACATGCGCTTCAAAGAGAAAGGTAGCAGACATTTTTAGCTCTTAAAAAATTTTAAAAATAATCACTGTCCTGATTTCTTTTCTTCAAAAACCCCTCCCTCCCTCCCCAATCATACAATGCTCAATTGGTAGGCAAGTAGGTACTGCTCTTGGTTTTTTGTTTGTGTGTTTCAGAACAACTGGCTATCCACAATTATGATATTGTCGTGGCATCTATGATGGAAGAAATGGTCTAGAGTATCGCACACGGAGGCATTTGCGCCCATCCGTTCAACTGATGTGTCAAGTTTGTGCATTTGACTGTATGATATTTTGAAGACATTGAACTGTGAACATTGGCTTGATATTTTATAATGTAAATACATTAACATTTTATTCATTTGTTCGCGGTCAACCCGGAACAAACAAATGCTGCTTGAATTTGTGCTGCTCATTTTGTGCTTGTTGCAATATTTGAATTAATTCAAACTTTTTATAAGTAAAAACTTTAATAAGCTTAAAGGTAAATGACTGTTTGTGATAAACCTGGAACAGCCAAATTATTGATTTGCTTTGTATTGTGTTGTTGCTTGAATGTTGGGTCTGCCCTGCTTGGCGACCCTTTGCTGTTTATATATTATGCCACGACCAACAACGCCAAACAATAAATGTTTAAAAATATATTTATTGTTTTTATTTCCTCTATATAGATAAAATGACGTAATTTTCTTGCAAGTCAATACATTATGACGTCATGATTGGCATCATTTTGAAAATTCTGCAAAAATGGCCAATTTTAAGATATTTTTCAATATTTTGTTAAAAAAAAGGCATACTCTGATCTAAACAATGCAATTAAATATCATTAAACTATATATACCCCAAAACTTGTTAATTTTTAGATCCAGGAAAGCGTTCATGTTTTTTTTAACTTGCGTAAAATTGTTCTGATGTGCTGAAAGAAAATTGGAAAGTCAGATATTATAATTACTCCAAACACAAGGGACATAAAAATGATTCCAAGAGTTCCCATGACCGCAGAGGATTGCCGCTCATCCGGGGCACTAACGCGAAGCCTGACACTGGAAGATAAATTTCTGACGTTTAAAACCAACTGGTTTCTCATTTCTGTGAGCTTTATCCCCAGACCTTTGAACTGTTTCAGAAGGTTGCTTTCATTACTCCAAAATTTCACCTTGTCGAAGTAATCGCAGGAACAAAGACAGGATTCTCCTAAAAAATTTCAAAGAAATTTAGTTTTATTGTTTCTCTTATATTATGGGGTTTATGTTAAAAAATGAATTATTTAAACATATAAACAATGGCAGTAAGTAAAATTGTGACCAGTTATAAAAGCTGTTGGATAAGGGGGCGTGATATGAGGAATCGTTCCACAATGAAATATACTGAAAGGAAAATGAAACACATGGAAACATAATAAGGGAAACATTTTTGACAGCGTGGCCAAAAATTATGACACTGATCAAGCAAGGGTGAATCTTTGTTAATCTGCACGAAAATAGGTTTTCAAAACTACCAAAACGTGAAATATATGACGTCATGTAAGAAAGTGGTAAAAAGTCACGTGCACTTCCTATTCCAGCAAAGAACATTTTTCAGTTCTCAGAGAGTAGCGTGAAAAATTTCCAACCAACACTGACAGTGATGTTTGCGCGTAATAACATTACATGGAGACAGGCTTTTCCTTCATGCCACCTCTGTAATCGTCAAGGCATTACTAATGAGGCCGACAGTAATACAGTAGGCAATTCTTATAGTTACATTCACCAACAAACTAATCGAGAACAGAGCAAAGCTCTAAAATATCAGAGGTCGAATCAGGTGCCATGTAGGAGTGAGTATCCTTTGCCTAACGGTCACACTCGTTGTGTGCGCCATGTCTTTATTGGTAAATAACGAAAAAAATCGTTGATTAATTGTAAACATGGCCTAAGAATTAGTATAAAAGAATTTAGGTAGCATTTGACATGACGATAAAGTGTATTTCCTTACAAGATTATTGCATCGACCATACAACTTACAAAATTATAATTTTAAATGATGAGACTCCTGACATTCTTGTTTCTTGTTCGTACGGATATATCTTAACAACGGGATAAAAATAAGTCATTCAAGTAGCTTTAAAATAATTGCATGATAGCTTGCTTACATCGAGCAATCCCAAACACCCCACATCTCCAACACCTATAATGGATCAACGTTAATAATCTAAAACCAATCAAGGGATACGTCTTTCAAGGATAAAGATCAAAATATAAACAACATCTATTTCTATTTTTAAGGCTTTTTAAAGAAAGTATCCATACCGCTGTTCAAAAAGGTTCCAGTTGTTGAAGCATCTGATGATACCAATGTACTTATAGCTTTTGGTGTTTCTGTTGAAACTGTTGATGTCACCTTGGTTGTTTCTAAGGTAGTACCATTGGTTGTTTTTGTTGTTTCTATGACTACCATTGAATGTTCCTGTTGTTTCTATGGTTTTACCATTGGGTGCTTCTGTTGTTTCTATGACTGTAGCATTGGGTGTTTTTGTTGTTTCTATGACTGTGCCATTGGGCAATTCTGTTACTTTTATAGTTGTGGCCTCTGATGTGTCTGCTGCTTGCATAGTTGTGTCATTTGATATTCCTGCTGATGTTATTTCTGTGATTGCAGAGACTCCAGGTGTACTTGTTGATTGTAATGAACTGACTGAGACAGCAATTTATACGAAAATAGATGTACTGTATTCAAAACTATTCTTTAAAAATGTTAACTTGTAATCATATCTACACATTTTAAAATTTTTCAGTCACAGTCGTCATAAAATAAAGTTATATGTAATAGTTTTCATCCAAGACAAAATCACATATAAATGTTCATGCATTTTATGTCTATATGTTAAATACAAAATTAACTTTCTTTTGGTAAACCTGCTAGTTACATTTACTTACTCGATCCTAAATCTTCAAGAAGTATTTCCTGGCAGAGGGACTCTCCTTAAATAAATAAATAAAGACTTGTTAACAGTGCTTGCTATAATGCATCACAATTTCATATAATTCATACAATTATAAAGTACTGTGGTTTTATAAATATTCGTTGAGCATTAATTTTCGACGATTTCGTTGTTGAGCAGATCCGCAAATTCAAATGTTTATTGAATTAAGAAATATGATATTCATTTGCATAGGCAATGCTTTTGTTCACGAAATTACGTATCCTCGAAAACGTCTATTTTAAAAATACACGAAAACTGATGCCAACGAAAATTGATGAAACCGCAGTATGTCCTTTGTGCATTATTGTTATTCTAACGTCTCTCAACTGAAAGCTCACTCATATAGAATAGACTAGATGATACCACTTGCCGGTAAAGATCTGCAAATTTTTTCAGGGCCTTTGAATAGTGAGGGATCTTTTTTTGTGCCAACACTGTGGCAACGCACTTTGAAAAAATTACGCACTTTGAAAAAAATTTTCAAAGTGCGTTGAAATTGGGACAAAATCAATTAACGCATTTTGAAAAAATTTTTCAAAGTGCGTTAAATTTGGGACACACTCAACGCACTTTGTAAAAATTTTTCAAAGTGCGTTAAGAGTGTACATTAACATTTTTGCCATGGAGAAAATTAATGCACTTTGAAAAAAAATATGTATACAACAAAAATTCTTCACTTAGATTTAGTAATTGAGAGAATCAATTTGTAATTAATCATTTTTTCGAATAACTTTTTAATATACGTGTATTGATTTAACCTCATTGAGAACAAGGAGAAGACGAGTAAAATATCTCTAAGCCCAACTATTTTTTTTTCAGGTACATATAGCCATCGGTAGCAAATTGAACGCCTCTCCATCCCAAGGCAAGCCCAATTTTCAGTGCCTATATTATGTATATCTTTGCAAAACATTTGTTTGTTTAAGCCCCACTCCAGGTACCGATGCCTATATATGCCACACCCAAATATATGTATTTGCATAACTGGTTGAAAACTTTCAATAAATTTTAGCTTACATAAAATGCATGCAAACTGGAAAAAATTATGTACAGTAAAACATTTACGAGAGGAAGAATTTTCAAATTAAGAAAAACAAAATCGCTCACTTTCACATCATGAAGCGACCTTAAAATTATCACCCAAAATTTATCCAACATGTTCAATTATTTATCATTCCTAAGATTTGAAGAATATCGACCATACACATTTTTTTTTCAAAGTGCGTTGATTTGGTCCCAAATTTAACGCACTTTGAAAAGAAATTTTATTTTTTCAAAGTGCGTTGATTTGGTCCCAAATTTAACGCACTTTAAAAAATTTTGTCAAAGTGCGTAATTTTTCAAAGTGCCTTGTAACACAGCATCTACTGCGACACGGGACCTCGGTATATACGGTATCATCCGAAGGACATGTGCCCACTTCCCAATGTGGGATTCGATCACGCGACGTACATGTAAGGATCAACTTACTTCGCGACTCTAGAGCATTCAATATTCTTAAACTATTTCAAATTAAATTTGAGTATACATATTACGCCTCAGCTAATTACTATGACTTTAATACAAACCCTCTTAACCAATTAGAGTGAGAAAGGTTTAAGTCCAATGTTTGTTCTTCTCTTCTTTTTAATTACTTTTTTTTAATCTATATCAAATGCTTCTTTGCAGATACAACTGCTGACTGACATATCTAGCAAAATTTGTTTCAAGCAAATTCTTCTGCTTATTTATTTACAGATTTCTTTGTTTTGTTCATTTAACGAGGCCCAATCTAGTTGGAAATTACGAAAACGGAATGATAAAAAAATTTGATTCTTGGAAATAAATTTGTATGTATTATGCTAAGAAAAATTAGAATGAAATTTTGTTACCTTGCCTTTATTGTAGTCAAATGGGGGCACTCTCAAGATATGGACCATTTTCGTGTTTTTATACACAATTACATACTACTCAATAAACAACGGAATTGACAAATAAAAAAAAAATAAATGATGAAATGTTTTAATTTTCATATATATTATGCAATTCACATCCCTCTTTTAAAAAATGAAAAGAAAATCGGAGGTAGCCTTTATTGCAGTGAAAAGGGGGCATATCAAAACACAAAAATAGGACTTATTTTATCCAACTATAGCTAGTTTTTTATAAGTTGCAATAGGCCAACTTTATATAACATCAACAAACGATTGTAATACTGCATAAGTTTCTAAAAATTAAATCATTCTTACATTATGGCATAATTTTTCCTTTATGCTCAATAAAAATGGTGAGTATAAACACTTCAATGTTCGAGGAGAAAGACTAAAATCGTTTACTTTTGGTTGCAGTTGGAATTTTTTCTAACTCACAAATTGAAATAAAACAAGATAAAATTAATGAATCTGTTCCAAGAAATTGATACCTCAAAATAAATTATATTTCAAAGTTGTTATTAATTTAAAAGTAATAAAAAGCCAGAATGAGCCAGCTTTCAACAAGCAGTCTATAGAGCAAGATCCGCGAAATATTTTAGCGAAATTTGACGTCATTTTAATTGTGACGTTATTGTATTCAATTGTGACGGCAGTCCAGGGTACTGTGACGTGCCTGAGTCGACGCTGCGTTAAAACGTATGCGCAGATCAACTAGATCGGGTCTCGTTAAATTTGAAAGAAATGATAGGAGATATTTACCTGCCTGGTGTAACCCACTGTTCGGTACATGATCTATTATATCTGTCATTGAAAAAAAAAATACATGATTAGAACATTGTGGGTACATATATACATTTACCCAAAAATGGACTTAAACAATTCTTGGATAAATGTATCTTGATCAATACCATTTATCGAGCACAGAAGACAGCTGTAATTATTGAGATACAGTTTTGAATTGTGATATCAACTACTGTAAACCAACTTTTATTCGCGGCGATTTATTTCGCGATTTACCGGGGAAAAACTAGTTTGCAACGATTAAATTTCGCGACCAAGCCTATTTTGGATCTGTTGTTCATAGGAACATAGACTTAGAACACCGGTTCGCGGCGAGAAATATTCGCGATGACGGGACTCTCGAAAACCTCGCAAAAATTCCTCGCACGTGAATAAAAGTTGGTTTACCGTATTCGAATGAGTGATATCACCTGTTCGAATGGGTGATATCACCATTTCAATTTGAATAGGTGATATCACTTTTTGGCAGTAAATACCAAAACGGCGCTTCATACAGAGAGGTGTTTGAGAACGAAGTAGGAACGACATGATTTGTGTGTCGATCATTTTTTAATTTCGTTCCTAAATCATGAATATTCAACATTTAAATAACTATGTACATGTTTGGAATATGCAAGATGACACGATTGTACCGAGTAACTCGACCTACGTAGAAAGAATAACTTTGGAAAACCAGCAATTTATCAAACACATTTACCTTACCCAGGAATAAAAATTTAGGAAATACGCAGAGTAGTTTGATCTCTTTTTGTATTTTCCCATGGAGTTCGAAAAATTCAATACTTCCTGGAACCGTGTGCTATATTTTAATGCCTTTATATCGTGTTGTACACTTTTAAAACAAGTTTGGAGAGATTGATTGATTGCATGTTATTTAATTATAACATCTCTCTCGAGAATTGTTCACTCATATGGAGACGCCACCACTTGCCGGTGGAGAGCTGATAATTTTGTCCTATACTCGGCACTGAGGGCCATTGAGCAATGAGGGATCTTTTTCGTGCTAGCACCTACTGGGACACGGGACCTCGGTCTATACAGTCTCAACCGCTGTAATTTTCATATAATTTTCTTTGAATCATCCAAGAATTTTCATCAACTAATATCTTCCCCTGGTAATGCATGCTGACTTTTTGTCTACGAACTTGATGGCACTATATTTACATTTCCAATGTCTTTGTCAGGGATAAAATAACAAAATGTAAATGTAATTTATTTCCTCATCAATGTATTGGCGCGGTTCCAAAAAAAAATCACGTGCGGGGCGGAACAAACAGCTAGACAGAAGTACTGGTACTTGAAAACAAAAGAAACATTTTATTCTTTATATTAAAAAAGTAATCGATTTTCTTGATCATACAAACATTTTCTAAAAGATATTAGGTTTTTTGAAGTTTTATCAAGGAAAAGAATCAATGTGTCATTTAGATTGCCGACGTGCAATGCTGAAATGCATGTGTACCGTATTTAAGAGAGGTCCATATATCTCATTCGTCGTCTGAAAAGTTTACAACCATTGAAATTTTCTTTTTTGTTACGATTTATATGCTTTAAAATGACGCCTTTACACGAATTATTCTTGAGTCGTAGAGTGCATCCTGACAATCATGTAGTTATGATAAACTAGTATATCGATGATGTGATGCAATGTATCCAATATATAAATATCTGTCTGTTTACGCGGCAATGAAACACCCCTCCTCAACAAAAGAGCGCACCAAGGGAGGTAATTCTCGAAACTGAGAATATCTTAAAAAATTATCAATAAGTACATGTAAGGTACTTTATGTACCGTATATCCGTTTTTTTCGCGATGATCTATTTTTTGCTTTTTCTGCGATCATTTTTAATTCGCAAAATATAAAACACGCAGAAATTATGCCAGCTATAATATGACAGAAAAACATAACCATT